GATTCTAGTAGTAAGGCCAGGAGCCCCTAGTAGCGTCTTTGCTCCTAATAGTAAGGCCAGGAGCCCCTAGTAGCGTCTTTGCTCCTAGTAGTAAGGCCAACAGCCCCTAGTAGCGTCTTTGCTCCTAGTAGCGTCTTTGCTCCTAGCAGAAGGCCAGGAGCCCCTAGTAGCGTCTTTGCTCCTAGTAGTAAGGCCAGGAGCCCCTAGTAGCGTGTTTGCTCCTAGTAGCGATGACAGGAGCCCCTAGTAGCGACTTTGCTCCTAGTAGTAAGGCCAGGAGCCCCTAGTAGCGTCTTTGCTCCTAATAGTAAGGCCACGAGCCCCTAGTAGCGTCTTTGCTCCTAGTAGTAAGGCCAGGAGCCCCTAGTAGCGTCTTTGCTCCTAATAGTAAGGCCAGCAGTCTCTAGTAGCACCCTTGCTCCTAGTAGCGATGCCAGGAGCCCCTAGTAGCGTCTTTGCTCCTAGTAGTAAGGCGAGGAGCCCCTAGCAGCGTCTTTGTTCTTAGTCGTAAGGCCAGGATCCTAGTAGCGTCCTTGCTCCTAGTAGCGATGCCAGGAGCCCCTAGTAGCGTCTTTGCTCCTAGTAGTAAGGCCAGGAGCCCCTAGTAGTGTCTTTGTTCTTAGTAGTAAGGCCAGGATCCTAGTAGCACCCTTGCTCCTAGTAGCGATGCCAGGAGCCAGTAGTAAGGCCAGGAGCCCCTAGTAGCGTCTTTGCTCCTATAGTAGTAAGGCCAGGAGCCCCTAGTAGCGTTCTTGTTCCTAGTGGTAAGGCCAGGAGCCCCTAGTAGCGTCTTTGCTCCGAGTAGTAAGGCCAGGAGCCCCTAGTAGCTTCTTGCTCCTAGTATTAAGGCCAGGAGCCCCGAGTAGCGTCTTTGCTAGTAGTAAGGCCAGGAGCCCCTAGTAGCTTCTTGTTCCTAGTAGTAAGGCCAGGAGCCCCTACTAGCGTCTTTGCTTCTAGGAGTAAGGCCAGCAGTCTCTAGTAGCACCCTTGCTCGTAGTAGCGATGCCAGGAGCCAGTAGTATGGCCAGGAGCCCCTAGTAGCGTCTTTGCTCCTAGTAGTAAGGCCAGGCGCCCCTACTAGCGTCTTTGCTCCTGGTGGTAAGACCAGGAGCCCAAAGTAGCGTCTTTGCTCCTAGTTGTAAGGCCAGGGGCCCCTAGTAGCGTCCTTGCTCCTAGTAGCGATGCCAGGAGTCCCTAGTAGCGTCTTTGCTCCTAGTAGTAAGGCCAGGAGCCCTAGTAGCGTCTTTGCTAGTAGTAAGGCCAGGCGCCCTAGCAGCGTCTTTGCTCCTAGTAGTAAGGCCGGTAGTATGGCCAGGAGCCCCTAGTAGCGTCTTTGCTCCTAGTAGTAAGGCCAGCAGCTCCTAGTAGCGTCTTTGCTCCTAGTAGTAAGGCCAGGTTCCCCTAGTAGCGTCTTTGCATCTAGTAGTAAGGCCAGGAGCCCCTAGTAGCGTCCTTGCTGCTAGTAGCGATGCCAGGGGCCCCTAGTAGCGTCTTTGCTCCTAGTAGTGAGGCCAGGAGCCCCAAGTAGCGTCTTTGCTCCTAGTAGTAAGGCCGGGAGCCCCTGGTAGCGTCCTTGCTCCTATAGTAGCAATGCCAGGAGCCCCTAGTAGCGTCTTTGCTCCTAGTAGCAAGGCCAGGAGCCCCAGTAGCGTGTTTGCTCCTAGTAGTAAGGCCAGGAGCCCCTAGTAGCGTTCTTGCCAGGAGCCCCTAGTAGCGTCTTTGCTCCTTGTAGTAAGGCCAGGAGTCTAGTAGCGTCCTTGCTCCTAGCAGTAAGGCCAGGAGCCCCTAGTAGCGTCTTTGCTCCTAGTAGTAAGGCCAGGAGCCCCTAGTAGCTTCTTGCTCCTAGTAGTAAGGCCAGGAGCCCCTGGTAGCGTCTTTGCTCCTAGTAGTAAGGCCAGGAGCCCCCTAGTAGCTTCTTGCTCCTAGTAGCAAGGCCAGGAGCCCCTAGTAGCGTCTTTGCTCCTAGGAGTAAGGCCAGCAGTCTCTAGTAGCACCCTTGCTCCTAGTAGCGATGCCAGGAGCCAGTAGTAAGGCCAGGAGCCCCTAGTAGCGTGTTTGCTCCTAGTAGTAAGGCCAGGAGCCCCTACTAGCGTCTTTGCTCCTAGTAGTAAGGCAAGGAGCCCATAGTAGCGTCTTTGCTCCTAGTTGTAAGGCCAGGAGCCCCTAGTAGCGTCTTTGCTCCTAATAGTAAGGCCAGGAGCCCTAGTAGCGTCTTTGCTGCTAGTAGTATGGCCAGGAGCCTTTGCTCCTAGTAGTAAGGCCAGTAGTATGGCCAGGAGCCCCTAGTAGCGTCTTTGCTCCTAGTAGTAAGGCCAGCAGCTCCTAGCGTTTTTGCTCCTAGTAGTAAGGCCAGGTTCCCCTAGTAGCGTCTTTGCTCCAGTAGTAAGGCCAGCAGCCTCTAGTAGCGCCCTTGCTCCTAGTACGATCAGGAGCCCCTAGTAGCGTTTTTGCTCCTAGTAGTAAGGCCAGGAACCCCTAGTAGCGTCTTTGCTCCTAGTAGCAAGGCCAGGAATTCCAGTAGCGTGTTTGCTCCTAGTAGTAAGGCCAGGAGCCCCTAGTAGCGTCTTTGCTCCTAGTAGCAAGGCCA